AAGGGAGAGAGAGAGAGAGAAAGAAGAAAGGGAGAGAGAGAGAGAGAAGAAAGAGAGTGAGAGAGAGAGAGAAGTGAACGGAGCAGTTGCTGTAGACCCAAATTTTGCTCTGAATGCTGGTAGAGAGAAAGAGAGACGGAGGTAGAGAAGAGAGAGAGAGAGAGGTTCCGCCTATTGTGCCCGTTGCTTTCACACTGTCTGCTAACGGCGGACGTCCCGAATCCGCAACAAGTTCTCGCCGCCGGGGCCTTCATCTGCTGTTCCACTTGATCCATCCGACGCTCCATCTGTGCCTGGGGCAAAAAGCGCAAATGGAGGAGGGTCCAAAACATACAAGAACTTGATGTCTTTGATCGTTTAAAGCAGGTTTCAATCAGCAGTATTTGAATTTATGTTCAAAAAAGTCTCAAGAATTCCAAACTTCCGTTCAAACCGCACAAAAACTCCAACATATTGAAACACTTCCCGGGTCGAGGTTAGTAGTAGTATATGCAAGTGTAGCAACCAAGCAATGTCAGGAAGGGTTTTTTCTATGCTGAAACTGCTTTTTGCGCCTTGGATTCCCGTGTGTCAGTGGCCAACGCCTCAGACAAAGCAGGAGGCCGACAGGTCCGGCGTTACTAATGTTCGTCAGCCAACAACATCCGGACATGCATCTGCGGGTTGCTAATCTAAAAGCAACTTGACACATAATTTGACCTAGCCTGTTCGTTTCTTTCTTGTAACAAACAATCGAAGATGAGTTTTGCACCTCTCGTTTTTGAACTTCTGCTTGGAGGTGTTTGACCTCTTCATCAAGCCTGCGTGCAGCAACTGGCCGGTCATGGACTGGCCAAACATAACAATGAAAGAGAAAACGCCGGCGAAACGTGTAAATCGGCAGAATCCTAGTATTTAGCACAGAAGTGTGCATCCACGCAGGAACACCAACATCCTTCCAAACTTCCCAACCTCGTCGATACAGCCCTGGTCTCATCCTTGTTGGCCTAAACCAAAACAACAGTTGACCCCATCCGATTCCCCATGCGTCCACTGCGACGTTTCATGAGACATCAACACTTTGTGAACCAACCTTCTGAGCTTCCTGGATCAAGTTTTGGAGTTGGCCACCAATTTTGTCGGTTTTCTCTTCGACATCCTTGCAGCGTGCTCAAAGTTGGAAGGCGCACAAAATGCACAGGCTATGGCGCGTCCTTTGAGGTCAGAGTAATCTTCTTGAGTGCGTCAAACTCCTGGTGGAGTGCATCCATCTGTTTTGTCGTTGCAGTTCTCTCGGACTCCTGCAACACTCAAAATTGTTGTGCCCAGCAACTATTGAACTTTGAGCCACTCTACTTCGAGCACCCCCCACCCGCCCGGTTTTGCCCCTACAGCCCGAAAGTTCACACGCCCCTTCGCTCAGACACTCAGGTGGTACTGTAGCCGGAGCGTTAAGCGCTACATCGGAGCTTGCCCATGCCCAAGAGCCATATACACCGGCAATTGATGGCCCCAGCGTTCACACGCCCTTCCGTTTAAAATCGTTTAAAGTAGCCACCTGGAAACATTACCTTGGCGCTACTAGGTCCAACGCGTCCGACGATAGCACCCGCTTTCACAAGCCGGCGCACTAAGCAATGCATCAAAGTGTAACGCTGGTGCTGGTAGGGGGTTGCGCATGCTGGAACACCAAGAGCCGCGCTGGCACACAAGAAAATTGGAGGATTAAACCATGAACGGGCTAAACCATTAAGCCAGTCGCGGTCGCACAAACCCTGAAGCTCCTCTTCAACAAGCGCGCAGCTGCACCATTCCTGATTTCATCTTCCAAAAATCCCACCTACATCAACCCTCAAATTCCTCTTGCTAGGAAGCCATGGCTTCCCCAATCCTGAATTTCCAGACCCAAAGACCTGGAGGAGTACTCCAGGTTTGTGCATGGTGTGGAATTGCTGCTTCTTCACGCTATCCTTGCAAGTAGGGAAGCAGCCCTGGCTGCACGGGACGGGTCCTGAAAAGCATGGTCCAAGAAAGCACCCTATTGCCACAAGGCTGCAGTTACGCAAGCCTTCGAGAATCTTTACGCTTTTGTTCAATGAAGCAGCGGTTTCACCGTTCCACCGTAATCGTCAAATCCTCTTCACAGAAACTGCAGCTGCGCACATCCACTCGTCATCGCACGTTTGTTGCCAGTGTCACAGTTTCTTGCTGGTTGTCGCGATTGTCATTAGACGGATCCCTGCAGCAACAAAGGTGACGACCGGGTGGATGTCTATTCTGAAAAATCTAGCAATCCCATTCCTGTCGGGTGTGGGAAAACACACAACACTTTCCAGGGATTCAAGGGTCCATGTCAGCACTCGTTTTTTGGATGAGCTCTCTCAAATCTTTCAATTCCTTTTGGGCGGCCTGGCGCGGTCTTTTGGCACGTTCAAAGTATAACGACCGATCTGAACTGAACAACACTTGTGTCACATGACAAGTATACCAGCTCCGCTCACGTTGAAAAGAAAGCCCTCACTTTCTTTGAGCGTCACAATATCACACGTCGACGTTTTCAACGTAAAGTCCCATGTTGGGAGGCAAATCACCGGCGCAATCGGGTTGTCAGGATATTCAGCGAGAGGGCGGTGTCTGTCAGCTCACCTTGCCTGTTGCTTTGGACTTCCTTTCACTATATACAAGTACAGGCAATGCTGCGTGAAAAATCAGCACCCTACAATGCCCAAGTCGAGTGCAAAACCACAGCAGTGACAAAACAGAAAGGCAACATAGAGGACACACAAAAACGTCCGGCAAACAAATCGCGTTGCCTCATACTCTTGTTTCAAGTGAGCCCCAGCAGAGGCCTTCATCAGGGGTGGGCCATGACCATACACGCATGCGACAAGCGAGAGATATGTATCATTGGCAAATGCAACTGTCGCCTCACAAGGGACGGCCTTGAAACTGTCCACGCGAGTTATAGGTCTTTCAATGTGAATAAGCGGTGAACATGCATCTTGAGTGTACACAGTGTACACTTACACCTCCTAAAGCGGGAAACAAGTCACTGCATTTTGGTTTGCAGGTTCCTGCCTCCTCCCCTGGGCCTGCAACGCTTGATGGCCCTGATGCTGCAACACTTGATGCCTGCTCCGAATTCTCTCTCACCAAACAAAGCGCAAGGACAGTGAAATCAATTTGCCCCTGACTAGTTCGGCTGAAACTGGCTGCCAAGATATTCATCAACAAGCTACGCAGTGGTGCTTGTCAGTTCATCTTGCCTGCTGCTTTGGACTTCCTTTCGCCTGTTACAATGCTATGTGAAAAATCCGAAAAATCCGCACCCTGCAATTGATGTCCAAACCACAGCAACGACGAAACAGGGAGGCTAGCAACGAATTTGAACAATAGAAGGGGAGCGTTTGAACTTGGAGGACACAGGAAACCAAGCAACTACCAAATCGGCCTGCCCCATATACGATTATATCAAGTGAGCCCCAGCAGGGGTCCTTGAATATCAGGCACGGTAGAATGCACTGTCCACACGACAACTTGACCTTTAGCATGAATATGTGGTGAACATGAATACACCTCTAAAGCAGGGAAACGATCACTGCATTTTGGTTTGCAGGTTTCTTCGGCTGCAGTTCTCTGTAGGCCAGCGCAGCGAGGCACGAACAAATATTGTTCTGACAAAGTCGCTAGGGACCTGATTGGAACAATGGGAAGCAACATGCTCAGTCTGCGCACGCGCGGACAAGCGCCTTAGAGAGCTCTAGCTTAAGTCCGGGGAAGCGCGGACCGCGCACCATCGCCATTGAAAGCGCAAAGTCCGTCTGGGCGCGCAGGGACGTGCGCACGTGCGCAACCTCACTCTGGGCACGCACGGGCCTCGTGCTGATCTGCACACCATAGAGTGAACCAGAGCGCGCGCACGACCTGCAGACCGCAAAGATCTCCAGCCACGTGTGGGTGGGCCCATCCTGCACACCGTGCAGAATGCCAGAAGGTATGCCACGCATAGAGAAAATATATACCACTTACTATACCACTTAGAATGCCAGGAGATGTGCCAGAAAGTGTGCTAGAATATACATGCCAGAAAAATGCAAAAAGATGCGCCAGCTAGAACGCCAGAAGATATGCCTGAAAAACTGTTATAAGATATGCCAGATAGAACGCCAGAAAGGATGTCAGAAGATGTGCCAGGTGGAATGTCAGAAGATATGCCAGCCAGAAAAATGCCAGGTAGTGCCAGGTAGTTAAGGATTTCCAAAGATATGCAAGTTCAAACACCAGAGGATATGCCAGCTGGAGTGCCAGAAGGCATACCAGAATATGTCAGCGTGGTGGCAGTCAGAAAAATGTTGGTATACATGGTGCCAGAAAACATAACAGAGCCGAAGACCATATATGACAACACATGTCAGAGCACACGCCAGCTTGGCGCGAGAGCCCATGTCAGAAGTACATGCCAAAGATGTCATGCAGAACAATTGTCAGAACTCACGGCAGGACAAATGTCAGAGCGCGTGGCATGGACGTCTCCAGAGCATGTTCCAGTCTTTATGAAAGATGATGTGTCAGAACACATACCAGACTTGACAGGCAGCGTTTATCAGGATAGTCTGTCAATACATGTGCCCTGCATTCTTCCAAATCGCTTCTCAGGGTGGGGACCACTCGAAGTAAAGTCATTTTGCACCCAGCCACATCATCTGGACGTCAGCATTGGCAGAATGATTTCACTCACAATTTCATGATTCATGCGCTCTCTGATCCCCTTTTGGAATGGAGTTGTCAGAATTTATGGACTAGAACAGAATTAGCAGGTTGAAAGGAAGCTTTTCTACAAAACAATAGAACTAAAAAAACCTTGTTGAGCTATCATAGCCGTAGCCATGACATGAACAAACGGCTGTGCCCTGACCCCAACAGTACTTGCTGGTGACAGCCGCACCCGCGCCGTTATGTGCCCGATGGGTCTTCTGATTACAAACACGGCCCACCCCCTAATAAGAGAAACTCGGCCGCATTTTTTCTAATAGGGGGTCCCTGAAATCGGGGGGTCCAAAATAGGGTCACCTGGGAAGAGCTTCAAAACCAAAAAGACTACCAAAAAAGTAACCCATAAAAAATTTAGTATAAAGTCTTTTATTAAGCTCGTATCAAAAATTCAAAAACCTCCAGATCGAAGGGTCTTCCTCTTCCCCTACAAAAACCTTTATTAGAATACTGATTCATTCGACTGACAACCAAAGCTTTCGAAAGGTGATGTCGCTGTGCCATGCGGTTTTGCACGACCTCGGTGGCAAGTGCGTTTGCGTGAGTCCGTGCCATTGGAGGAAGGAACACCTGCTGGTGTAAACGCAGCGTGTCATGGTGGATACACAGGGCGGACAGATGTGGGCAGTTACGGTTGTTTTTGGAACCTAATAAAAGAAACTACCCCCAAAATCGACCATGTTGGTAGTTTAGTAGCGGTTTGTAAGGGCTGCAATTCAAAAACACATACAAACCGAATTTAGGGTTTCGGACGTGGTGTTTTTTAAATTGGTGAGTGTTTACTAACAGAAAGGCACGCTGTGGGGGCCTGCGTTTTCCAGTGTTTCTAAAAAAATATTGTTTTCAATGAAATGAAATCACTTTACTTATATATATATATTGTTTTTCCTATATGTTAATGTGTAAAATATTAAAAAACAACATATGTGTGCAACAATAACCAAAGCTTATGTGCCACACAATGTAGGCAAGGAACAAGGACGTCTCAATCTGAAGGTGGAAGAGAAGGATCTCTGGGGGGGGAAAGCAAAAAAAACATCAAGAGCATTTGGCAAAGGCTGGGAGGGGGGGTCGAGCAAAAAACAATATATTGTTTGTTTTAATACAGAGCATTTGGCAAAGGCTGGGAGGGGGGGGGTCGGGCAAAACAAAGAAATTGCTCGACCCCCCCCAGATCCAGATTAGGAGTCTCAGGAAAAGGCTAGGAGGGAGGATTGACCGAATGGTCGACCCTCCCTCTAAACAACTAAAACCAGTTCAGGAGTTAACAATTAGGTATATCAAAGAGCTTCTTTTGCAGCACCATTTGTTGAAATATATAAAGCATACTTTAAACTGAAGCATGCTGGTATTACAGTAAAGTGTGTGAAGATTGATTTTTTCACCATCAAGGCTGAAGATCAAAAGAACCCAAGTGAGTGGGCTTTATCAATAAGATTGGAGTCTGGAGAGTGAGCAAGTATGTGGAT